GAAAGTGGTTAAATGTGTCAATCTGTTGCATTTGGCATTGAATGCACTGCCATTTTAACAGGTGTAGGTAACATTTCTTGGGTTTTCCTGACTCTTAACCTATTTAATGCTGATACCATTCTCAAAGAGAGCACGATTCAACACAAATTTTCCAATACCAGAAATTTTGTCAAAAAATGAAATTGTACCACAGTTGATGCATTTTGCTCGGTGTGGCAAGGCTGCAAACTCTTTTCAGACTAATATTTTGATGCCCTGAGTTATATTTTCTGCTTAAATGAGTGTTAGGTTGCAGTGAAGAAAATCTGAACCCTAACTACCCAAACCCTGAGCTAGGGTTAGGTTTAGTATTATTAGAAAACATAGAGGATGTTTGATGGCATGGCTGTGTTTTAGGACAGACATGAAATTAGGAAAAGTGTTATTTTAATGTTTTCTGCACTTTTTTTCTTTCATATATGGCTCTATGTACTTCATTGTGCTATATGGGAATTTTGTCCAAATCCCTGAATTGCTAAAGATTAAAAGAAAGTGGTTAAATGTCTCAATCTGTTGCATTTGGCATTGAATGGTATTGCTGGAAAAAAATGATATTTAGGAATGGTGATATATCAGTGTTATTTACACATTTTATTCCTGACATACAGTATTTGGGCATATACAGTGCATTGTCCTGAATCGTTAAGTTTTCCAAATTGCCCTGAAATGAATAGTATTGAATGTACAGGTATTTTAACAAATACAACCAATCTTGATTATGGATTCCCGCCTGTTACCATAGCTATATCAGATACCAAGCTCATTCAGGAAACCATTCAACACAAAAGTTCCAATAAGGATTATAGTCAAAAAACAAAATTCTGCCATTGTTGATTTGTTTGCTACAGTTTGATTGGATGCTTGGTCTCTTCAGATTTATATTTTGATGGAGGGAAGTACATTTTCCTCTTCAATGAGTGAAAGATTGTTGAAAGTCTGAACCCTAACCCTAACCCAAATCCTTAGTTAGGGTTAGGTTTTAGGACTTCCACAAAACATAGACAATTGTTAATGGTATTGCTGTGTTTAAGGACAAAAATGATATTTAGGAATGGTGATATATCAATGTTATTTAAACATTTTTTTTCCTTTCATATATGGACATATACAGTGCATTGCCCTGAAGGGTAATGTTGTCCAAATTACCCTAAAACGAATAGTTTGGTAGAAATTGGTGACACCTTATCAAACTCTTGCATACTGCGTTGAATGTACAGGTATTTTAACAAATACAAGCAAACTTTATAACGTATTCCCCCCTGTTACCATAGCTATGCCAGATACCAAGCTCATTGAGAACTCCATTAAAAACAAAAGTTCCGCTAAAGAGAATACTTGTCCAAAAACATAATTCCACCATTGCTGATATGTTCTCTTCAGTTTGGCTTGGATGCTTGGTCACTTCAGATTTATATTTTGATGGAGAGAAGTATATGTTCCATTTAAATGACTGGAAGATTGTGGGAACTATGATGAAAGTCTGAACCCTAACCCAAATCCTTAGCTAGGGTTTGGGTAAGGATTTCCATAAAACCTAGACAATTTTTTATAGTAATGCTGGAAAAAAATTAGGAAAAAAATGATATTTCGGAATAGTGAAATATCAATGTTATGTAAGCATTTTTTTCCCTTTCATATATGACCATACAGTATACAGTGCATTGTCCTGAAGGGGAATGTTGTCTCATTTGCTCTGAAATTAAAAGTTTGGAAGAAATTGATGACACTTATCAAACTCTAACATATTGTGTTGAATGTACAGTAATGTTAATAAATATAACCAAAATATACAGTGTTAAGTATTCCTGCCTTTTACTGTAGTTAAACCTGATTCCTAGCTCATTGAGAACCCATTCAGTACACAAGTTTGGATAAAGATTATACTTGTCCAAAAACAAAATTCCGCCATTGTTGATATGTTCTCTTTAGTTTGGTTTGGATGCTTGGTCACTAAAGATTTATATTTTGATTGAGTGAAGTATATTTTCCACTTCAATGCGTGGAATATTGTGGAAAGTCTGAATAAAGTCTGAACCCTATCCCTAACATAAATCCTTAGCTAAGGTTAGGGTTAGGACATCCACAAAACAAAGACAATTTTTGATGGTATTGCCATGTTTTAGAACAAAAAGATATTTAGGAATAGTCATATATCAATGTTATCTGAACATTTTTTTCCTGACATATACAGTATGGCCATATACAGTGCATTGTCCTGAAGGGGAACATTGTCTAATTTGACCTGAAATTAAAAGTTTGGAATAAATTGATGACACTTATCAAACTCTTGCATATTGCATTGAATATTCAGGTATTTTAACAATTAAAACCAAAATTATTAGGTATTCTTGCCTGTTACCGTAGCTATACCAGATACCATTGAGAACACCATTCAACACAAAAGTTCCAATTTAGAGAATACTTGTCCAAAAACAAAATTCCGCCATTGTTGATATGTTTTCTTCAGGTTGGCTTGGATGTTAAAATACCTTTGGCAGGTATTTTAACAAATAAAACCAAACATTAATTAAGTATTCCTGCCTATTTTCCTGATACTTTTTTATGATATTGCTGTGCTTTAGCACAAAAATGATATTTATGAACAGTGATATATTAATGTTATCTGAATGTGTTTTTCCTTACAGATAATGATATATATAATATATAATAATATATATAATATATTAT